CGCTGCTCAGACGCTGCTCTTAAATAGGTGTTGCGAAACGTACATATTAAATGCGTGTTTTCGTGGCACGTCTCTTGCCATTATTAATGCGAAAATTGTGAAATACGCTCGCTCGACGCTTAGTTAACATCACGTGTGCGTTTCTCTTCAAAACAGACAAAATCTAAGATTTAATGATCGCGTTTGGTCCTAAATATTACCTATATATATGCTGGTAGTTTAAAAAATCAGTTGCGTGAACAATTCTTTTTATTTTATATCTCCGTCATAGGAATCTCTGTAACGCTTGCGAAATTTTGTTATCTCTCTCTGTACCTGCGTCTAATAATTATTATTTGATTTAATATAACGCGGAAGATCTTTGAACGAATGCCAGATGATAAATAAACTGCACTGCATAAACACAGGCGCGGCATAATTCTCGAAGTTCGCATATGTTGACACGTGATTTAGTAAACTCGCTTTCCCGTCATTTTTACATGCATTTCCTCATGCATTTCGCACATCCCCCGAAAGTACATTAGGCAAGCAGCGCTCTTGTTAATAGCCGGCAACTGAACCGAAGAGCAGAGGCGTCCTGATGCATGGCGAAACGTTGCCAAGCTCCAATAACGTATGTGACACGGTTGCTCAATCCGTCGACAGGTGCGCGTAAATTAGCGAGCCACCCAGCTTGCGGTACGCGGCGTATATAAATTTGATGATATCATAGCGAAACAACGGCAAAAAAAGAAAGAGGAAAAAGGTAGGCTTCTCGCCCCTGTGTGACGTCCTCATTAGGAGAAACACGGCCGCGAGGTGAAGTCACCTTCCCGTTCCCGTCTGTGCCGATCCCTGGATTTGTGATTCCACAAAATCCGCGAATCGATTGGACATAGCTAATTTAATAAGCGACGCGCGGGGTTTACGAGCCGCGATGCGGCGGCGACGGCGCATCGGCAGCTGCACAGTCGCAGCTCGAGATTTAAAAGCCGCTTTGCAACCGCCCTCCCTCCCTCCCCTCTCTCTCCCTCTCGCCCTCCCACCCACTCGTTCGAGGTCCGCGGCAACTCTTTCTCGTTTCGTCTGTCTGTTGCACGGTCCATGGGCAGCGTCGTTCACGGCGCAAGCCGGCCGGCTTAATGTTGTTTTAATTAAGTAGGCGGTTAGCCGAAAAGAATGTCGAGTCGGTACTTTCGGTCTCGTCGACTTCCACTTCGTGTGCGCCGGCTACCTTCTCTCTCTCTCTCTCTCTATTTCGAGAGGTGCCGCGTAACTCAAGTCGCATGTGTTCCTCGTATGTTCAGACGCGATGGACGATTTCGCTTGACTAATCGCACCGACTTTTTAACCCCTTCTACAACGTGGAGAAAAAGGAAGACGTCGTGTAAAATGTTCTCATGTTTATCTACGACGGGCTTGAATCAACCGTCGAGCACGACGGTCAACGGTCGCATCGACGTTTGAAGAGACCGCTCTAACTGCCAAAAATAAAATGTTGTTTGATTTAAGATTGTCAAAAGGATGGGCTCGACCTATCTGATTTGCGGAATTGCGATTTTTCGAAACCTCGCCTATTATCTCGGAACAGGATCTCGATATCTTAATTTAGAACTCTTTCAAAACGTTACCCCATTTTTCTCTCTTTTCGAGATTTTATATGTTCGAATAAAAATCTTAGGTAATCTACTTTCGAGACATTATTTATTTAAGAAATGTTGCAAAAAAAATGTTAATTTCATAAATGATTTCTTTACATGCGAATTCACTATTTTTCTTCTTAACATATACCGTGAATACTAAGGACATTTATACGGCTTCTTTTAGATCAGGTTTAATTTCTAGCTATTTTTATTTTAAGGACATTTGTACAGCTCTTTTTAGATTAGGTTTAATTTCTAGCAATTAAAACAAAATTATTTACGAAAAATATGAATATAGAAACTAATTATTTTAATTACTTATTGAAACAAAGAATATTTAATTAATTATTTACAATACATATTATATATTCCATAGATATGCAAGACGGATAATGAAATACAGATTTAATTATTCTCGAGAAAACATAATTTGATTCTGGAATATAAAAGTGTATCGCGGAAGAAGACGGCGTTAAGATTAAGACGAAACCGATTTCCTGATGATGTAGGCTATTAGCGGGGTTAATGAGCGATGTTAAATCGTGACCGGCCACTTTCGCCGCGGGAACGTGTTTATATATATAACGCACACCTAGATATATTATTAACCAACGCCGTCGCGCATCTTTTAGCGCGTAATGCACAGGTTGATCGGCCTGCACTTTCAAGCAGGTATAATTCATGACGTAACAACCAATTTTGAAAATCTTATTAACCCGAGAATAATCACCTGAGGTGATTTTTACACTCTAATAACAAGAAAATGGAGCTCAGTACAGTAGCTTTCTTTCTCTGATCGAAACCTTATATAAGACCTATTTTTTAAAATTTCTTAAAAAATATTAAGTAAATCTATACGTATACTATTTATATATTATATAGTGATCTCACTAATAATAAATTGTAGCATACAAAAATATACAATATACAATTAATAATAGTGACTTTTAATTGGAATGTAAAAATCACCCCAAGTGATCGTTTTACGCGATAAAAAATTAGGTGCAAACTATTCCCGAGTTAATGTCGAAGATGAAGTGTCGGTCGTCATTAAAGATTCCATTCCATTAATGAAATAAAGCGCAAAATACTTTTGCAAATTCTCACGGCTCGCCATTTTTCGTACGAATTCGTATACGTGAAAGAGGAGCTAAAGAATGGTCGGAGTGCCATGGCTGCATCATACACAGCCGCTTCAGCAGACCGTAAAATTGGCGTGTAAAAATGTATAAATATGGTACGCCGGCCGGTACACAAAAGCGCGCGTATTATAATCGGAATTAACCTAGTGTTCGACTGAAATACTTCTTCTTTGCAAGCATAAAGCAGCGAAACCCTTTGTATCGAAAAAGAGAGGATTTGCCCCTCGTGCAAAATTGCGCTCGCCCGGCATTATCGTAAATTATACACGTCGAGTTATTTAAAGGAATCCGAGACAGGAACGCGGGATAAAGTTTCTAATTACGATTTCTCCAAATTGCTAATAGGTGGCTAATATGAAATGGCCTGCAATCGCGAAGGATATGCGGCTCATGCAGTACATAACGCCGTTTTGAAATCCGTTGTCATCGCGATGAGCAGAAACGAGCATTCTTAAATTAACAATTTTGATGTTTTATTTAATATCTAAAAGAAACGCTAAATAAAATAATTAGATATTTTTGGCGCGCGTAAAATCACTTTTCTGCACAATTTTTTTCCTCTTTAAAATCTCAATTGTACAGCTATGAAATTTCATGCAATCCACGATTATTGAGTGGAAGGAAAAATTCTCGAATTTTATCTGTATATTAATTAGATGTACAATGTTTTTCGGCACGATTGATAATTCGATGCTCCGCTGCAGTTTCTCCAATATCTTTCCGCGTGTCGCAAGTTTGCGCCGGAGAACTTGGGTGGGAGCGGCAATTTCGCCGGATCGTCGCCGAGGCAGGCGGTTAAACTCAGGAAGGAACCTCCGTTACGATTTTGCGGTAATAGCCGGCCGAACAGGACAACAGAGAGCTCGGTTCTGCATTCGTGACGGACAATTATAAATCGCATCTCATCACCTTTCCTCGCCTCTGTTTCGCCGCGATTTTTATCGGCCCCGCAATCGCGCCGGCTCTCATCCGTGACCGCTTTAATCACATTTTAACTGTGCCGAGAAGCGTCCGTGATTGCTATGTACTACGTCCAAGGAGGCACAGTTACGCTCCAAGCTCGATATGCATTTCTGCTGCACACGCCGTCGAATAATATGACACGATGATCTGCGCGTTGCGCAAAAAAGTCGAATGACACGAATGATTTGCAAAATTTGTCATTGCTTCGTTACTGACGTGTAATTTTCATGTTTCGCGTATTGCCAGCTTGTGTAAGAGTAATGCGTGTGCAAATATTAATAGGCTCGTTCTAACTGATAGTAAAAATATAGGAAAGAAACGATAATCTTTTTTTTTTTAATTACTCGTTTAAAGATGTAAATTGCTTGTCAAATTTTTCAATATTTTCACGCAATTTACATTTCTTTCGATAAAATTACTATGCAATGCAAAGTGGAGTAAATAGACACGATATGCTGACAATCAATACTTCTGGCGAAAATTTTTTCTGTAATTTTTAAAAGAAACTTATAAAATCTGATGAAGTTTAAGGTATCTTTCAGAAATCTTTATTAATTTAAAACATATGAAATTCTTCAAACATTTATTTTGAAACATTATAAGATTTTATTCATCAAGGACAAATACGATGTGATATATTTATTATTTTGTTGACTTTTGCACGATGTTGCATTTATTAAATGCAAATTAAGTATTGAGACAATGTCGCCATCGTACGCGAATTCCAAGAACGAAGAACGAATTATATAAAATTAACAATAGATAAAATAATTCTTAATTTGACTTTTTTACGTAAAAAGTGCATTGACGAAATTTTAGATAATTGTAGAATTTTTATTTTAATTTGCTTTATATTACTATATATAATGACATTGTGTCAATGTCATTGCCACTGTCGATAATATCGATAACATCGTAAATGTTATCTATCTTATCCTCTTAAGAAAATTATATCTTACGAGCTGCTCGACGGATAATAACTCGACGGGAATGAAGACAATGAAATCGAAGATGAAGAAGAAAATTGTCTATAATTATCTAAATAGAACACATTTCCGCGGTAATGCAAATTGGAAGGAAGTTATGATCTCTCAGGAAATAACGTATCATAGAATCATCTATAGAAGAGCACATGAATAAGACAAAAAAAAAGAAAGAACAGGAATGAGAGAAGAGTAATTGCAATTTTGAGAAAGTGACAGGATTATTGACTGTTATTGTACGCACTGCACAATTATAGAGAGTAATTAGAAAGATAAAGTTATCATTGTGAGTTTATTTATTCGATTTCTATTCCACTGACACGTTGAATCCATTCCGCAAACGCCGCCACTCTCGTATACACCCCCGGTCTACCGCTCGGACAGTTTGCGTCTCCGTAGCTAACGATACCGATTTGCAGCGGCCGATCGTCCCTCATTACAAAAAGGGGACCCCCGCTGTCTCCCTAAGACACATCAAATTAGAACAAGTAACATTACACGCACACATTGAAAATATTATCCATTTAAAAAACTTTAAATAGTTCTAACGTGTGCAGATTTAGATAAATCTGTAATGTAAAAATTAAAAATTTGTGTTAGCTCGCATTTTGGCGTTACTTTACTATTAAAAATTTTTTGTATAATTAAATTCGACCCTATTACCTGACACGCATTTTTCCCGAGTCCCGGTTCCGTGCATATATTTCTGTAGTCCACTCTCCAATACGAGACGCAATCGCGTTTTGAAATTAACGGCATTAGGGCGTACTTGAGTCTCTTGGTACCTCTGGGACCGTAGCCATCACGACCCCATCCAACCACAGTGGCAATCGTGTCGGCCATCACTTTACCCTCCTTCGGACCAGCCAGGTGTATTGGTTGAATTTTTTCTGAAATTAAAATTTCGAAACGCAGAAAATTAAAATAAAAACTGTATTTAAAATATTATCTTTTACAATCTCTGGAGTTCTCCGTCAGGAAACACGAAATTCAGCGTTCTCTATTGAATCTACGATTATTTCTTACCTGAAAAAGGAATATCTTCCGGCATCTGTAACAGTCCGATGTCGTTCTTGCTGAAGTAATAGTAGGGATGTACGTGAGCCTGCGTCGTCATCATCGAGACCCCGGATCCCCGGTTTATGTCGTAACCGATCCCCGTTTTGTCGACGATTCCGAATATCACGAAGAACCTCTGTGGATACTTTGCGATACAGTGCCCCGCGGTCAGCACCCATCTTTCCGAAATGATGGTACCGCCGCACTGAGCGACTCTCCTACCATCGATCAATCGATGCACCACGGCCATGAACGGAAATTGACCTTCATTCGCGTAGGTTCCACCGGCTATCCTCTCCATTTGTTTGGCTTTTCCACGACAAAAAAAAAAAGATATTCACAGAAAATAGAGATGCTTTCTCAAGAAAAAGATGCAATTGAAAATAAAAATGTATGGCACTGATATCTGAATATAAAAATACATAGAAAATTTAGTCTCTAATATGATGTAATAATAGCATTGGTAAAAAATGAATTACATAATGAATCCTTCACAGACGGAATATTATTATATAAGCACAAGTTCTCAAAATTCTGCTTGTTATATTGTATTTATTATTCTGACATTATTATTCTGACAGAACAATGAAAATATCTTTTTTTTTTACTAGTGGATTTTTTAGTTATCACGCGTTTGTACTCACTATTCGACACGGACAATTGATTATTGATCGTAATGACACCATTATTAAAATCAATAACGATCCTTTTGTTATTGAAGTGTTGAGGCTGCGGTTGAGCATTTCTACGCGACGTCGAAACAATCAGGAAAAACACGAAAGCCTTTGCACTCCACGAATCCATAGCGGACTAACGAAAATTTTCGCGTCTCACTGCTATTTATGATTTAGTGATTTAGTCAGTCAAGTATAACACCGACTGGAGAAACCGCTTGCACGAGGTGGAAGAAATACATTAGCCCTAACACTGCTTCTCATTTCTCTGTCATAGATCGTAAACATAATTGATTTTTATCATTCCGATTTCCATTGCTTTATATCTCTTGTCAAATTTATCGATGGCACATTCTACACTGTGAAAAAAAATTACTTAAAACAAATAAATATGTTTTAGGTACCCTTCAAAGAAATAATTTTCTTGAAGCAAGTAAAAATTTTTTATTTTAAGTAAAAGTGTCTGCACTGAGAAAAAAAATTACTTAAAACAAAAAATTTTACTTGCTTCAAGAAATTATTTTTTTGAGGGGTACCTAAAACATATTTATTTGTTTTAAGTAATTTTTTTTCACAGTGTAGGTATACATGAAATAATTACTGCTTAAATATTTTTAAATTTTATTGAAATTTTCCAGTGATATAATATAAGTGCATTTAATATTTTTCACGTATTTTTTTAAACGCGAAAAACAAACATTTATACACACATTATAAAGAAATGGAAATCGGAGAAATGTTTTCCTTACCAAATATATTTATTAATCTCCATCCATATAAATGTGACAAAACAGCTTTAGTTAAACGTTTCTTTTTCTTGTTGCGCTTTTTCAGCGACAAATTATACATTATTGCATACAATAATTATCCTTGCGAAATGCGCGGCGAGTTAACAGTATTGCTCGGATAGAAGGTGTTGTCGTTTCTATTAATCTCGACCGTTGCATCGAATTGATTGGCAATCATTCTATTGCGCTGCTGACAGTTCCGTGATTTCCAGTCGAGCGGCCGTTGCACTCTGATTGAAATGCACTCGAAGGCTCGTAATGACTCGAGAGTATTTTTGCACGCGCGGACAGCCCGGCGCGACGTAACGCGTGTGCGTGATGCGTAATGCCTGCATATACATGATTCATCGTTTATCTCGTCTCCGAGATCCTCTCGCGCTACGAAGCTGTGAGCTCCGGACCGGACGTATTCGCTGTCCGATTTCACGTTCAAACCGCACGGCCGATCCTTCTTTTCTCCTGCGAACGACGTGTTACGTAACGTCGTCAGAGTTCTCTCGCTTTCTTCGCGGAGTTCGAAGTTGACCTAAAAAAAAAAAGTACGTAAGATGTAAATGAATCTTTTTGCGGATTACTTTCCATTTTAGTACACCCATTAGCGTAACAATTCTATAATTATATTTACAAACGAACGGGAAGTAATTTATTCGAATAATTTCCGAGTTCCGAAGACGTTTCGAGGAACTTGTGCAATGTAACCTTACGTAAAATAACATTGTAGCAATAAATACTTCCAGTTGTGTCATTAAAAATTGACTGATTTAACATCTCTTCTTCTGTCGCAATATCTTCTGATGACTTCAGTTCTATCTTATCGAATGCTTAATGCGATTTATTAATATCATGCTGTCACGTTTATTTCGGGCAACTGTTACAATATCACGTTAAAAAATAGCAGTGATTTAATCTTTTTTTTTTTTAAGGATTATAAGAAGAAATTAATAATCTATGGAAACTCAATTTAAATCATTATATAACATTTCAATTTAAGAATTATTTATATTTAAAAATTAACTTATTTAAATCTATTTGTTTCATTCGAAAAAGAGAATTGATCATTAATATAATATAATAATTAGAATAGTCAATTAAACAGTTAATGGTTAATTAATGTTTATTAAATTAATTTATAATGGATCTATTATTTTTTGTATATATTTTCAGTAGTCAGTTTAAAAAGGCACAAATAATTGTTTAGAAGTATAGATAGTACATTAATTAATCGGTTGTAGAAATGACTTCAAATTTTTCAACTTTTCTCGCTTATTATCGTACAATAAATTTTATTGTGTCACAGATTTAATTACCGACACTCGATCATGTCAGCGTTCTACAGTTATCCCGCAGTTATCTAATTGACATATGTATGATAGATATTACTATGATTACGAGAGAGCTAACACTCATTCTCTTAAAAAATCATTCATTAAAGCCTAAAATTGAGAGTACTAAGTTCTATTAGTTATGATTATTTTTAAAAGTTTCCATGAAAATTAAAATAACACAATCAAGGAGATGTAAAAAAGAGAAAGTATATATCGGAGAAAGTGGGTTCTCAAAAGAGGACAGATTACATTAAATTGCGAAGGGAAAAGATGAAGAATGTCAAAAGTTGAAGACGAAATAAGTAACTTAGGAAGGAAGCCAGAATTACACAAAATTGACGTCAATATGCCATATTTGTACGATATAAAAAGAGAGACAAGAATTAATACTTTATACACCTCCACTGGCGGATAAAGTGAGAAAAGTTCCAACTTCTTAATACATAACGCCAACAATAAAAATAAGACTTCCCATTTATAACTCGGCAAAATAATTCTTTGACTTCTAGGGAGATTGAATAATAAATTTTATACAAAGAGAGAGAGAGAGAGAGAGAGATCCACCAATCACACCGTTTTTCGCAGCGAAATATATACGCGATTGGGACGTGACAGCGTGGTAACAGCTGTCTGCTGGCACTCGCGCTGCGACGCATGCGCGAGATTTGTCGCACCAGGTGTCACCTCGTGAACTTCATCGGCAGCACTTCGGCGGCTTCCCTCGTCCCTTCGCGCACTTCGCTCCGTTGGCAGACCTGAGATCGGAGCAGGTCGGGGAGCGCGAACTCGCGAAGAGGAAGGAGAGATCGCGACGAGCCGTGAGCCGCACCGTCGCCGTATCGTATCCGCAGTGTGCGTCGTGCTGCATCGGTGATCGGCTGGAGCTGGAGAGCGAGTGGCGATACATCACACGTACATATACATAATACGCGAACGCTGGCGGTGGACGGATCGCGACTACCGTCGTCGTCGTCGTTGTCATCGTCGTCTAGAACACGTCCAGCAGCTGGCCTAGCCCCGGTCTCGTGTAGCGGAGATCGGAGATGATCGTCGCCCGCGATAGTAATCGCGACGAATTAGCGAGCGTGACCGCGACGTGCCGGAAGCCCATCGTCGTCGCGACGGGGATGTGAGCGAGAGGGGCGCGCTCGCGAGAGCGCCGCGCGGCGTCGTCCGTCGGTCGCCGTCGTTGTCTCGTCGTCATCGCTGACGGCGACCAGCAACCACGACGACCTGGCCGGCCAGTCGAGGGGTAGAAGGCGCGCGCGCGCGCACAACACGTTGCCGCGGCNGTTGTGTTGTCATCGTCGTCGTCGTCGTCGTCGTCGTCGTCGTCGTCGTCGTCGTCGTCGTCGTCGTCGTCGTCGTCGTCGTCATCGTCATCGTCGCTGAACGCGATACATACACGCGCAACTCACGTCCTCCGCGGGAGTCGGCGAGTCCGAGGGGGAGCGCGATGGCGGACTTCGACGCGATCTACGAGGAGGAGGAGGAGAACGAGCAGCACCTGGAGGAGCACTACGTCGCGATGGTTCCGGACCCGATCGTGATCCGCGGGGCTGGCAACATGACGGTGTAAGTCTTCTCCCCGTCCCGTGCGTGAAGGAAGCGCCGCTCCGCGAATTCGCGCGTTTCGCGAGAGGCTCTTTGTTGTCTGGAAGAGCGGAAGGAGGGGGGGGGGGGAGGGAGATTCGCGCTTCTCCACAAAGAAGGGAAGCAAACAAAGCCATCTGATCACGATTGATTTCGGACGGAAAGTCGGTTCCGGTCCGCGCGAAACTCCTCCGTCTTGTCGTTTCGCACGTCGTCAGCCCAGCGACGTTCGTTGTTTTTTTTTGTTTTTACTCCGCCGTGGAAATGCATAATTCAACGGATCTTCTATAATTAAATTGTCGTTTACCTTGGAGCCGCGCAAATACTTTTATTCCACTTTGTGTACGGAAGATTTTCAACGACGAGTTTTATCCGAAACACTGGAAATTATACACGTAGAGGCGTGTTATTAATCTGTGCGATCTCTCTCTCTTTCAGATTCGGTCTCAGTAACCGTTTTGAGTCGGAGTTTCCCAACGGCCTCATGTCCCGCGTGGCTCCAGAGGAGTTCAAGGCGACCGTGATGAGAGTGAACAGTGTACTGAAAAAGACTTTACCTGTCAACGTTAAGTGGTTATTCTGCGGTTGTGTATGCTGTTGCTGTACTCTAGGATGTTCTCTGTGGCCTGTCATTTGCTTGAGCAAGAGGGTGCGTATCGATGAATTTGCAAGAAAGTCGAATTTACAACGGAAAGTTTTGCATTTTGCGTAAAACAAGCTGCAAGATAATTTAATGGGTTTAAATTAGATTTTAATGTATGTACATGAACGTGACATCTTATCTCTTTCTAGACTCAGCATTCGTTAAATAAATTGTTAGAATGGGAGAACAGTAGGCTCTACCACAAACTCGGTTTACATTGGAGGTTGGCGAAACAGAGATGCGACAGCTCCTCCATGATGGAATATGTAAGGCATTATGAAATTGTTAGTTTAAAAAAAAAAAAGACTTGACGTGTAATTTTAACGACATGATTGATGGTTTCGCTTTTCTTGGCATTTCAGGTTCTTTTGATTGAATTTATTCCAAAGATTCCAATCTACAGGCCCGATTAAGCAATGTGAAATTGTGCAATTAGTAATACATATTAATGCAAATAATCGAAACGCAATGTGCAACTGCGGAGAGAAAATACAGAGAAGATAAAAGTGCCGCTACGATGATATAGGTACTTTTCTGGTACTTATGTATAATGCATATTTTTGTAAATATCATGGGTAGGAATGCACAGTACAATAATTCGACGTAACGGAGAATAGATCACGTTTCGATTATATAGGAAGAAAAAGGACAGCTGCTATTTCTTTACAATTAATTTAAAACGGGGGGGGGGGGTGAAAATATTGCGAACGAATCGAATGATGATTATTTTCTCGGAGATATTCTTCATATTCGTTTGAAATCAACGCGTCAATCGTCAGATTCACGCGCGTCACTTTCTGTGTTTTTAAATTCTTTTGCGCTGAAAACTACTCGACAGCTTCGTTCAGTCGTTGCGAAAGTAATAACGTTTTCTTTTCTTTTCGCCGAGTTCCTCGCAACGTTTGATAATCTGTAACTCGTCGACTAGAGTTTAAGCTCTTTCAGGGTAAGAAATTAATCTGATTCAGTACAACGAACGTGTTAAAGTATGACAAACAAAATGAGTCACGCCAATCAATCTGTCTAATCGTGCATAATGCAATATATACGCGCTCGCGCGCGCGCGCTCATGTTGTACATACGTACGTGTACATACATAGAAACTTATTTTAACTACATAGGTTAATTTCTTACCACGGTGATATTAGAAAGTATGATGTGTAAAGCGCGGCTTTACTTTCCGATACGAATTTCACGAGAATATTTTAACACGGACGAATCATTCAGAGATCGAGAAGCGTGTCGAGGCGCGCTATTAAAAAAAGGTATCGACGTAGATTTTAGAAGAAGTGTAGATCAGCTGATAAATATAAAGATATATAACGACGAGACGAAATTTCAATTTCGAAACGCATCAGTCTGCAATAGGGCAAACAGTAGTACACAGCTGTAGAATAGCATCAGCGCAATTAACTTGGGCACAGAAGGACATAGGGAATACTGTAGAAGACTGCCATGAACGAGCTCATTGATTCTTGCTTATTAATAATGATAAAAAAAAATGTTGAACATTATCACGTTTTTACGCATACGCGCCGCATGATCTTGCGCGTGTGACCTTAGATGAATGAATTAAAAAAACTTAGCGCACGGACATTTCTTGTCACATATCCTGTTTTCCTTTTAAGCTAATGTTTAAACTAGTCTTAAGAAAGAATGGTGAAATTGTTCATTAAAATAAATTTTAATTTTATGGATGATAATACATTTTTAATTTACTTAAGCGGCACTGCTATCGTAGTACTGTTTACTCTATTCTCGTTAATAATACATACCGTTTCTCGTAATAAAACAAAAAAAAAAGGGATAGGATTACGGAAGTATCGGAACAACGTCTCCCGTGTAAAGGAACTCTGTTGTTGTAGGCACTATTTTGCATTTACAGTTTATAATATGGTTCCGCACAGATATTTCTCTGAACTAACAACTTGTCTAACGTGTGTGATGATGCGACTGTTGTCAGCCTCGCGTTGCTTTCGTACTAACGGACAGATCGAAGCAAATTCACTCCGTCGGCAGGCGCCCGCAAAACATTAAAAAAAAAAACGGTTGTAGAAAAATATGCAAAAGCATGTGAAAATACTGCAAGTGTTTCTGTTGCTGTTCAGTGGCTGTGATCGAGAACAAAAGACTAGCTTTTGAATTTGAATGTGTATCGCAAACAGCTACACATAACGCCCGTGCTTTATCTTATGCGGTTCTACACGTTTAAAGCCTTTTATAGAATTACCAGATTTACTCTGTTTCTCTAATATTTGTACTTATTCTATAGGAGTAACTAACAAGTAAGTCGAGAAGTAACAGGCGTTGCATTAGAGGTGTCTGTGTCATGTAGATAAGAATGCTATATTGCCATATCTGATTTCAATCACAAATATAGATATAATCCATTTATCATTAATATATCTTTAAAGATGAGGCAAGCAGAGCTATTTATATAGATTCTCATTTCATTCGATGGAAATATTGTGGAACGATTATACTCTCGATGATCTGTTGAATAGTTGATAAATACGTCGAATAATAAGAGCAGTCTTAAGCGATCATAGAAAAATCACATCGTCATATTTTCGGACACGTGTGTACGGACGAATTGTTATACGATTATTATTTTTCCGATAACTCTATAGCGGGCAGAAGTGTCGATATTTCTGTATGTAATGTCCTTTCAATCGATCCATTGAACAAATATTGAATTATATACATGTAGAATATATATATATATATATATTATATATATAAACCGAGATATACTGTGTAATGGAACCATTGCATATGTGCTTTCTAAACTGAATATCGCGATCCTCCTGGTAGCGTAATAATAAAATAAGGGCTGTGTTAAATCGGTCAAAGTGAGAGACGCATAATATGGTTCTAAACTATTCTTAAAAACTATGCTTAAAAACAATTCTCGCATATTCTCTAGGAATGAAGATTACTTAACGTGCCGATGAATATGAAGGCAGTTTTTTTATTCAGTTCGCTCGCGTTAAATACCGATTTTCTTAAAATACCAAAATACGGTCTAATTGTGCTTTTTTGAAATACGTACACCAAGTAAATCAGAAAAACGCATGTAACGTTAACCACGCTCAGTTTGAAAGTAGTTGTAATTACGCATAGATTTAGTTTATTAATTTATTAAATATTTTAGTACACAATTATATAAAGGCCACGTATACTAGAAAAAAAAGTTAATTAAGTCTAGTATGACTTATACATATATACATGTGTTGTCTGCGCGACAATTTACATGATCCTTCCGTCGCATAGATCATAAACTACGTAGACTCTGTAAAAGAAAAGCTACAGAATTGTTTCCCGTTGATGTTTATCACTTTGCACAAATAAATATTTTAGATATCAGGAACAGAATACTAACACGAAAACATGATAATGTAACATCAAGGAAATAATCATAAAAACTAAATGCTTATTTCAGGCACAAGAAGGCAAATTACAAACAAATTATCCGTATAGATAATAAGCTAGATTACGACACATGACGACACATGATTTACATAGTTTGCATGATACATGTAGATATTAGAGACGATTGATGTTTTATGCGTAGTTATTTCTTGGACATTCGGTTTAATAACAAAACTCACCTTGGAAATTATGCATTTTAAGCAAACACTTCTACAGTCTGAGACTATTTTCCAATTCGCGTTGCTTTGCAGAAAAAAGCTCAGCTAGGTATTGTGCATGTTGGATGCGTGAAAACGGAGATATCAAAGCATCACTCGACAAAGACTCTTCGATTTGCTCATATTATTCAGCGCACCGCACATCTTCACGAATGTCCATATAAATATATGAATACGTGTGTTTGCACGTTGTAAAATTAAAAAGACAAACAGATGTATATCGCAGGGAGGCCAATTAATAGGAAGAAATTGGTTTACTTTTTAGATCTGTTTTATTTGTTGTTACTTGAGGGATCTCTCGAATAATGTCACTCCAAGAAGCGGAAATATTTTTTCAGCAAGAACGGTTTCGTGTGTGCGGATTTATTTTCATAGGTACTGACGTTAAGGCATAAGAGTGTAATAATAATGTAAATAAGATGAGAAATCCGCAGGGGAATTTATAGGGAAGCGAGATTTGTAATATTGATGATTACATTGCGAAACATCACAGAGGAAAGGAATATATTTTTGATAGAAGAGAAATGTGAGAGCGATAATGGCGATTATTGGAAAATCGGGAAATATATAGAATTTGTTGAATTTACGTTTTAGAATTTTTTTTTATGCGAGTTGCGCGTGTCACGAAGATACCGCGACGGAACGTCGACGACGGATTAATCGATATACGAATAAATTACATAACATCGCATATCATGTTACACGTTACATTAAAACTAACTGCGTTAGTTGCATTAGAGATGTAACTTGCCAAAGCATTTATTTACCTAACATTTTAAAGTTGAAGTCAATAGATGAATTGTAGTTGCAACGCATCCTCGGCGCAAAAGCGGCTAAATAGTGAAATTATCGGTCAGGCTATCGTGGTTTCAAACATGTGCCTTTTACTCGTGAATTTTGTGTGAATCATATAAATGTAAATATTATATGTTAATGATACATGTTAAGAAATATATTTGTATAGAATGAGAGTGGTTCCTATATATATATATATATATACATATATATTGCGCATTACAAATAAAATAACTGCTCGCAAGCTGGCGATATCGTTGCACAAGATTACATGACGGAATCGAAATAGCATATCATCAGGTTCGCAGTGGATAGACGCTATCCTTTCGGCGGCATTGCGAGGTGCGGAAAGAGGCGAAATATATGACGTAACGAAGATATACGTAAATATATCGTTTCAAGCTTTCGATTAACAGCCGACTTATAAGCGCGATTTACTATATGACGACTAATTGTTTTCCGCTACGATTATCTTTTATACACAATCGTTTGTTAGCCATGTAAATTTGTGTAACTGTGTTAACTGTTTTTCAGTTTGAAAATAAAATGTACGATTGTATAATAGCCGAATAATATTTCAAGCTCAATGTATACCTTATTGACCGATACTCTTTAGCGACTGCAAGTTAATGTGGACTATTAATTTTTAATCAGGTGCAAACTTATATGTTATCCAGATTAAATTTCAACTGAAACTTTATGTCTATAGAATATATACATATATATATATATGTTCGTTTCGATGTTAATGTACTCCCAGTGGAGCAACGTCCAAGCAAACTGCTTACTTCGAAATTGGAATACGTCACATTATGATAATCGACAACAGATGCTCCGCAGCTTCTAATTAAAGGAGCCCATTGTTAGTCGTATCTGTGCTACAGGACAGATAATTCTTCTTCGTAGTATCAGAGTGGACACGAATTTAAGTTCTCGTATTTTCTCGCGCGCTCGGTGCAAGATGATTTTGCTATGTAATAGAAGTATCCGGGCGTTGATATTCGTCGTGAGTATCCTGTCTGTGAATTCTAACGAGTTTTTCTCAACGTACAACGCCTCCTCCAGGTAAAGAAAATTCCACGATGTTATGTCTGTCTCATCTTACATTCTCCATTTTACGTTTTAAAGCGGTTGAGTCTCAGTATCAAAATTTAGAAGTAAAATAAAATACACACGGAAAGAACTGTTTTGCTGAAGTGTCTGAAAATTTAACTGATTGCTAGAATGTCAAAACTTTGTGCAACATTATCATCATGCTGGAACGTCCCACATAATTATTTTGATGATCTAGAAAATTATTTTCAGATTTATACTTATTGTTAACAAAATTTATAGATACTTCAGCGAAATCGGTTTTTTATATTTTTTTTTATTATATAATTTTTTTTACTTCGTGATACGTTTTATTAATTTTTTAATGCGCACGTTGAATTGTTGTAGACCCTACATCCCTTTGAATTTCAGAGCCGTTTCGAAGTGTCCCTTGCCAATAACAGTTCTGGATTTCATTCGCAATTCTAGTCAGCCCGATTTAGAAGCTAAATGGCCCTGCGAGGTGCGCTCGTACTGGCTGTCGTTGCAGCCGTTCGTCAGATCCGTCCGCTTCTTGCTCCGCTATGTAACGCCGTTTATCATAATACTCGGTAAGGAACGTGTCGCGATGCCGCTACCGTACAACTCACGAATGTGTTTCTCATACAACGTTGTAACCCACTTCGTATAGGTGTATTGCTAAATGCTGTATCTTTTAGTATGTTGAGCGCACCTGTGCTATGTGACTCCAATTTGTCACTTTATCTAAGCGCGCTCGCTATATCGGACAATGGAGCGTTAATATTCAATTACGCCGTGAGCGTCGCAAAATCACACTCCACGTCCGTTAACGATCTCTTCATGGTAAATATATTATGGTCCTGCGTGTGTACGATCGATTTTGTCTCGTTTGCGCAGTCATCGGTCCTCCCGCTGCGAGAAATTCAGTACGCTCAGAGACGGAACAAAATCAATTTGGTCGCTTCAAGTTAATGGATATAACTCGTAACTTCAATTTGTTCCTCAAATGGTTCCTTTCAATTGAATCAAGGTTCTCCTCAATTGATGGCCCTGAGTGACCTCCTCAACGTGAACTGAGGAAGACCTTAATAAAGGTCAGAATCTAAGGGGAGTCTATCGTATATTATCTATATTACACAGTGAGAAACTAACCGAAAGGAATTGTTTGAAGAAAAAAAATATTTTATTACGCATCCCGGCGCCTTGGACTCGATTAAACGTTGAGATTTTTTTTTAAATTAAAGTTACAACTAACATGTTGACTGCCACGGTAGTTATCTGTAACCCGCGGCGCCTAATTTTTCAATGACCTCCTTATTGCAAGATAATCGGCGTTATCAACATTTTCGCTTGTAAAAGTAGGCTTATAAATGCCATCTAATATCAAATTCTGAATAAATAGATAACAACGTAAGGTGTACTTTTTACTTTACATTCTTATCTAGCTCTTTATGTCATTCTATTTTCGTTTATTTTTGCAACAAATGCTATTCAACACACTACCCATGAAGCTATTGTCTTATTTTACGTCACGCAATATTTTATCCGTTATATATGCTTATGATAATAAAAATTCTGAGATGTGTACAATAAGACAAAAGAAAAACAGAATAAAACTCCTGGGCAGACAGCAAGTGTCAAACGCGTCTATTCATCTCGACATCTCGATAAATTTTGGAAACGTTAGGGAGTTCGAACACTGATCGCGGGAGGATCATATTTTTTTTCCACGACGCTCACGATAATTTTCTTGCAGAACAGCAAGTTCTTATGCGGCGCGAATTCCGTGTGCATGGAACTTTTTCAATTTACGTCGACCTGGCTGATCGTCGCTCTCACGTGGACGCGCGTCATCGCCGTGGTGTTTCCATTCGGCGCCCGCGACTGTCAGAATCGCTCCGCGATCACGACTATCGCCAGCCTGGTCTGCATCAGTTTCGTGATATCCTTAACGAAGCTGTACTCCGGCGGTAAAGCGTTTACATCCCATATCGCGCCTTTTCCCCCCTTCGCGAGTCAATTTGCGTCACTACATACCGCACGATTACGTGTCATTGTTCTCTTCTCGTCAATGAACGCTGACTTGACGCTGATTGTAGGATACGAGACCGACAGCGTATTCGAATTCGTACCGTGCCAGAAGATGAAGCCGTGGGGCAGCGCCATGTATCTTTACATCGCCCTGTCCACGTGGCTGCCCTTGCTCTTCATATCGATCGGCAACCTGCTGCTGATCGTTCGCATGAGGAGGTCTTATAAGATTCACAACGAATTAACTCGTAAGTCTTCGCCGACCGACCGACTCGCGTTCGTTGACGCGCGACGTCATCGCACGGGGAGATTTAACGGCGACCCTCCGCCTCAGATAATTCTAGGTACAGAGGCAACAGAACGCACAACTCGAGCAGGACGTTGCTCGCGGTATCGATAGTACATTTGATCTTGCTGCTGCCGTTGGGAATCGTCGAAACGCTGGAACTTTATTGGGACGTGATTCTAATCAAACAGCCTGCTAATGCGGGAGAGAACGAGAAATATATACACTGGTAAAATAATCTTTCGAATTGTTTAACAGAATACAGAAATTGAGATCAAAAATGTTTCATAGTCTATCACGCGCTGTTCCAAATTATTTATTTCCAAATTATCTTTTATTTCTCTCATTTATACCTTTTATGTATAACAAAAAAATAATATATATATATTTATATCATTAAAATTGTTATTATATTATTCTATTTTATATAGCAAACCATAAAAAGATATATCGCAAATATATATACATATGTATATATATCTTAATACGGGCGGTATTGTTATTTTTCAGGTTGCAAGAGAAGATGTTGCTCAAGTGGTGCCGCGGCCTGTTCTTTCACGTATACCACTGGAGTTTCGCAATAAACTTTTTTTTGTATTACCTTACAGGAAAAAAGTTCAGAGGTGTCGTTACGCAAACGCTGAAAAATTATACGGACACATACCACCTGCCGTGTCACAGGAATGTCTCGAGGTGCAACGCGTGGAGCAACTGTCACAAACATTTACGATCTTGCAGCGCGTTGCTGACGAGGACCGTTATGCGAAGCAAACAATTCAATAATATGCCAAATAACTCAATAATATTCGATAATAGAAGTAACGCCAACGAAAGAAGCAGCAACGTCACCTAATTTTGTAAAAGCGAAGTACATTAGGAAGGAAACTCTCTTCGATCGATAGGAAGCGTTGCATTGTTTATACAGCTCACGTATACATATAAAAAAAGATACGTACACATTCAACTCGAAAGTGAGAAATAATTGTCTCTCGATAATTTTACAATACGTGCTCATCGTGTCTTTTTAATCGATTCCGGAAGCCAACGTCGCACGGGGAACAGAAATTTCATTCGGCAAAAGTTTATTTATTCTTTTCTAGTTTATTTTGTATACACATGAAATGTTTATACACATTTAAACATTGCAAAATATCACATTGCATATTAGGCGTCTTCTGCGTAACAGCGGTAGTTTCTTAAGAATTAAATAGCGATTTAATTACACGTAAAGACGATTTGTTATTACACTTTGACTATAAACTTTCAATTTTTTTCTCTTCGCTATCATCACTCGCCTTTCCTAGTCTTACGAACTAACATTCTGGTCCCAATGCAGATCTTCGATGCAATCTGGGATATTCTGTGTTAATACTGCACCAACGAGAATTTCCGAGCAAAGTGTACAAGAGTAAGACGTACAATTAGAACTTGCACCATTATCTTCGAAATTAATGCGAGATAAGAACTTAGAACGGTACGAGTTCATCGCTTCTTCCTAAGATTTAGCTTAGCGACTTGGTATGCGTATCACGAAACGTTCGAATTTCAATGCACATTTTGAATCACATACTAAATTACGAGTTTTATCTCAAACATATTATTATAATTACATAACTCGCGCGAGTGCGAACATAAATTAAGTATACACATATACAATAATAATTACTCATCTTAACGGTAGATTAAATGAACAGTTATCTAAACTACGTCATTGCTTCTACCCCCCCCCCCCTCCCCTCTTCACCCGTGTCCCTCTCCCACTCAATTATGCATTCACAATAATGTACATTTACAACTGTACCGCGCTGGTAACTTTTACTGAAATCAATTCTCAGTTAGACGAAAGAAATACGTTTATATAATACAGTGATATAGACATCCAGCATATTCACTTATATACTGATAAAGCATCTTTGCATTAACGATTTAGTCTCTTAAAAGAAAATCAGTTTATATTTATTATGCATAAATACGGAAGATATACCGAGTAATTTCCTAATTTTATATAGTAAATTATAGAATCTCAAACACAATATATACAACGAAAAAGCTATAACTTTATGTTTTTATGCTACAGCTAACTAAATTAAATTCCAAGATAGTATTTAAATCAGTGAAATTATCTAACGAAGACTGTATTATCTTTCATTTGATTTAGAAATCTGTCTATCGAAAACGAACTCTTCAAATAACGCACGCAAATATCTGAACTAAAATATGTATATTATTCATTTGTTAATCAATAGTAACAATTTATAAACCTTGGCAGATCTGTTATTTTACATTAACACAGTATTCTATTGTATTATTTTATATTAATACATTAAAAAATTATCTTTTGTATATGCCAAATATATACTTGCCAAGGTACGTCCTCATATAAAATTCTCAAAAATTTGTAGATTTTGAACTCTCAAGTGGATTTTGAAATATTTAAAATAAATTTTCTCGAAAACGCAAATATATGGAAAGAAACTCTGAACTGCAATAAATAAAATCGACAAGAAACAAAAAAAATGAAATGTAGAAAAATTTTCTCATACAATTAGAATATAAGGCATGTACAAAACGTGCTTAGTAAAAATTAAGCTTTCATTAGATGCAACATTAGATGCGCGCGTAAAATTTCGAAATAAAGATATAGATATGGTCCAGTACATGGATTTTAGTAGCATCCTTTACAAAATATTGCAAACAGTACAGGGGTGCAAAACTTTTTACAAAAAGAGTCAGCTAAATGAATTCTAAATATATCAATTACCATCAATATAATCGCAGATAACGTTATCTTCTAGTTGTCTAAAGACAGTATCGCGATTTACTTTCGAAAATTATCTCTATTGGAACACGACGATAGTAACTCGTTATGTGTAATTCAGTCTTTATGTCAGTAAAATCTTCTAAAATTTTCTTTCTCTTTTTGATTTGTACATGATCGAAATTACAGCATAAAAGATTCATTTTTACACTTTCTTTTTCTCTCATCACTATTCCTAGTATCGATTTGTAAAGATGCAATAATCCTAAATAATGTTTGCAATACGGAGGCTCTCGAAATAGTAAATTGTTAATACACTGGATACAAAAGATTCGTTGAAAGAGTGTTTAAATATTACGCGGAAGTCTATTTATATAATTTACTGGAAATTGTCCCTTCCTACCGTTGTACTCACCGTACAACCAATCTTCCGATATCCTTGATATGACCGTAATTTTTGCTCCCTCCTGAAATGTTAAAGTAACGTTAAGAACATAATGGAGCTTTCATCCAATTGCCTCGCCGGCAAATCTTTGATACCTCGAATGACAAGTCGTCGCTGTTCTCTCCCGGAAAAGCGTAAAGCGCTGTGACCACGTTGTCCGACAAACCCGGCAGAGATACTTTAATATCAATGTAACTAAGCGGAAAGATTCCTTGACGATTTCCTATTCTTCCCTCCAGCCAATCGTCGTTGACCTTCTTCACCAATTGCACAATGTCGCCCTCCTTTAAATCTAAGTCGTTCGGATGCGATGCGGGGAAATCGTACAGCACAATACCGTAAGGTTCGCTGGAATTTCCCTGTGAGTTGTCAACATCGTTAATAATGCGCTTCCTTCAAATACCGTATATAGCTTTAACGTAGCGTCTACAACAGGAGTCGTAAGCCTTTAGTTGTAAGAAATTGACCAATCACACAGTCGAATGTGAGAAGAATAATAAATTATGATTGGTTAATTCCTTACGACTCCTATTGTAGACGCTGCATAAGTTCGCAACACTCACTTGCGCAAAGTCGCCTCCGAATTCAGTCAAATAATTCGCAGGTAGCGCCGGCGGTGGAATCGTCGGCATGGGTGGCGACGGGCTGTCGCTCTCTTCACCGTCGTTGGACCATGCATTCGAGAAATGCAACGTCAACGGATTGGCCGTCGCGCCGCTACTCGAGACTGCGAAGCCGGTACACGTCTCCTTGGGTATCGGTTCGAGTTTCTTAAACGACATCTTTGGCGCCGGAGGCTTGGGAGGTCTCGCTCGGATTATCGTGGGCATCGACGTGACGAGAGGCTTAGGGACGACCGTGTTGGAAGGCACTTGGTTCGCCGCGCGATTGCCGGAACTGAACGGGAAGAGGCCGGCGCCGGCGGCGACCTGGGACACGCTCGTGCACGCGTCCTCCAGTGGCCCGAACGGATCTTGCACCGTTGTCTTGGTCTGCCACGGGTCATTTTGCGCTACCTTCCTGGCGGACATACCGAAGAAGTCGAAGTCATCCTCGAAGGCACTTTCCGTTTGCGATGTGTTTCCGCTGCTCGTGAATACGGACGGATTCGAGTTCCCGTCACTACCGAAACTGTCGACGCTGACACCATCGCTCGAGCGCGTCGTGAACGTCGGCGATCCAGGCGGGCTGAGATCTATCAAGGATACCGATGTCGCGATGGAGTTCGACGGTTGCGTTATCGGGTTTTGTAACTGGCCGGTGGTACGCGTCGGAAGAGGAGTCTCTTGCTTCTTTCGCCCGAAGAAATTGGTCAGCAGCTCCGTCGGCCTGGCCTAGCGTGCGAAATAAAATATAGCTGTTAAACTAGCTGTATTCCACAGGTGATAGACGTGTCGAGAACTACGAGCACACGTAAACCGCAATCCTTACTGGCTTTTTCTGTTTCTGATCCCTCTGATATTGCGCGTGATTATAATTGAACTTCGGAGGCGGTGGTCGAGGAGGTGGCTTTTTCTTCTGTCCAGGCTGCGTCGTCAGGGCACCTCCGAATATATCGTTACTGAAAGCATGCAAATGTCATCACAACGGTGCAGAGGCTAGAGATAGTCCGGAAGCTGGGATTCTATCAGTGGAATTTTCCACGGGGTGTTTCTTAGAGATAAAAGAGACTTGTTCTCCGCGACCAAAAACTTTTTAGCTGTCTCCTACTTATCAACATCCAATTATGTACTTGTTTCAGGCGCGGAGAACGTGTTAACGATGTTAGCACGCAAGTTAGTAGCACAGCCGCGAGGAGCAAACCTTAGCGGGACGAGGACGAGACCTACCTGCTGCTCCAGATCGGGTCTCTCTGCGTCGCGCTCTGGCCCGGGGGACGAGGCGCCGCGCGCGTCGGTATCCGCATGTCTGAAAGCAACAACGACAGGCGACAATGATCAGACGACTGGGGCAGCTGGGCAGCTCTGACGCACGATCGGTTCCTCGTACACACTGGTACGCACGCGTTCCGCGTGCGCGCGCGCACCGACCGCACGACACAACAAACAAGCGCACACGCGCACGAGTGATCGCGCGCGTACACACAACAGCTACGAAAAATTCTTCAAAACAAAGTGCGTGGCTGCGTGACAGATGGACGAGCGGACGGGCGGACGTGCGTATAGTGCCAGTGTGTGTGTGTGTGCACGTCGTCGCTTCGGGATTCGCGACGCACGATGTACGCCCACTCGACGCGGATGTCGCGACGATAAGCGAGACGCAGGCCAGTCACAGCGTGCCTTATCTCGCGTCCGCCCGACGATCGCGGGCCGCGGCGTGGTGGATTCGGGAGGGGGGTGGAGGGGGGGGGCGAGGGCCCGCAGAAGTTCAGAGTTCGACGCGCCGCCGCCGCGATCGGGAACGAGAACCCGGAGATTTATATCGCCGGAGAAGCAGCGCGAGGACGAGCGCCGCGGGGTGACGTCGCGCGCGCACGCGGCGCGACGGTTTCGCGTCCCGGTTTCCGGGACGCACGAACGCCACGGACTCCCCGGGGGGCGTCTTGGTTCGCGCACCGGAGCACGATGACTTCGACGGGCCGCCGTTCACGTTTACGTTATCAACTCACCTGTTCTCACGTTCGCGGCCATTTTTCACTCGCCGCGGCACGCGCTGCTGCACCGCAGCGACGTCCTCGTCACGGCAGCGCGTTTCGAAAACAGTCGCTTTCAAATTTACGCTGTCAAACGGCTCGCGCGGACTCCCTCCCCCCCC